TGATAATGCCCATAAATATTTATAAAATATTAAAATTTACATAATATTAACAAATATTCAGAATAACAGTATTGATAAGTTGTTTGCTTAAGGCTGGTATGTTTTAGCTTGTCAAGGAAGCGCATCTGTTGTGACCAAAGTGATAACTTAATCAACCAACAGATACTTCTGAGTGATAAATTCAATTTTTTAATGCCAAAGATCCGTTGGTTGACATCAAAGCACCTTCACGTTCCTGTGTTGATTTATTTGTTAATATGGTTGTGTCCATGCTATTAGGCTTAACCCAAGGCACACCTCAAAGATGCCCCTGCCTCAAAACAATAGTGTATGACAGCTTAAGCTAGAGCTCGAAGTCAACGAAATTTTGTATGGAGTCGATTCGACTCGGAGAAGACTTCAAGCTCTGGTTATAACCAACAAATATACTTACGCCTCATCTAAAAATGCGCTCTATACCCCACCCGTATTTCTTACTTCCTCGTTTTACAGCCTCTTGTTTAGAATTGTCTTTGCAAGTTGCTTCTTTTTTGCTCATACCAAAGAAAGAACAGCAGCATATAGCAGAAGCTGAAAGAAAAAAAGAAAGAACAAGTTATTTAATGTGTTAATTAAAGACGATTGTAACATCTTAACGTGCTTTGAAGGCACAATGCTAACATTTTTTTAATTCATATTTGTTTAATTACTTATTGATTATCTGCTAAACTGTACAGACCTTAAATGGATTTAGAATATTTCTTAGTAAATCACACAAATACTTTAGTTTACAGTTAGACGAGATGATTATTAGTTATTTTTGGCTGTGTCGATGACACTAATGGATGTGCCCAGTAAAAACAAATATGTTGGCATGTCAGTAAATCTTCTCATATCGACATTTCAATTTTCTACCCTTTTCTGACTAGTAATCAATTTACAAATGGATGTAAAAGTATCAATTTTTGTGTCTAGTTCGTTATGTCTGCTATAAGAAAGGAAGAAAGCAGACGAGGGTCTTCTCACAAAATCAGAAACGATTACATAGTAAATTTGTAGAAAAGCAGCATTTAATAGTCTTAACTCGCCGGTAGAATTTCTTTGATACATGCTTAATGAGTTTTGATTCCATATAAAAATTTGTCAAGCTTAAAGAGATACGTTCGTTACCTCTTGCCTTGCTTTGAAGTTAACATGAAAGGTTGAAAAGTGAAAAATCATCAAGTGGAACAAGTGCATCATGAAATTTTATACCTGCTAGCCTTATTTATCCCTTTTTACCCTCTCATTCATTCATGCAGTGCAGCATAAAATTATATAAGAGCAGTGAGAAGAAGTTTTTTTTTATGAACGGTGCGGTTACGCTTGATTTCCTTCCTTTTCATTTCAACACTATTATCAATAGAGACTCAATTCCACAAAGAATAGAAATACAAAAAAAATAAAAAATTAATTTTCAATTGATTTTAAAAAATTGAAGCGGGTCATAGAATATAAAAGTTAAAGAACCCAGAAGGAAGTGAGAATGAAAAAAAATGAGAAAAAAGAATTGAAATAAAACGTTTAAAAAAATATAAAAATCATTTCATCGGTTGTATTGTGAGAGTTTCTGGGGTACTTTTTTGGAGAAGGGAAGGAAAGTTGTTGGATGATTGTGGTTTGTCTAGTTGTCTGCTGAATATTACAGCTTTAAACTATTGTTTCTGATTTGATATTTTCCAATGAGTGCGGATGAGAACTAATTTTCGATTTCGAAGGATCTAATTTTCGAGCGCGGGAAAAAAAATTTGAATTTGAAAATTCCGTTACAATTATTTGTTTACATTTTGCATTTAAATTACTTCTTGAAAAAAGAATCTTCATGGGAACTTTCAGTAGAAGTTCAATGTTTTTTAATGTGTCTTTAATCAACAATTTATTGATACAGTAATTGCCCAAGTTGAAGTAGTTTTTGAACATTGTGAAGAAACGATTGATAAACTATTAAAAGCTTTTGTTAAATTTAGAGCAAAATTTCAGTATCCGTGTTGATTAATACATAAAAGAAACAATTTTGCATCAAAAAACAATTGAAATAAATTTGTTTCTTAATTAAGTCGTTAACGTATTTTTATTTTTCAAAATTTCATATTTTCGAATTTTTTCGAATTTTTTTTGAATTTTTCGAAATTAACCAAAATTAACTGAAAATTTCTTTGTTCGCACTCATTGGGATATTTTCAATTATAAAGATAGTTTACTTACTTAATTCTTGGGCTGGGGCGCACGTGGGCCCATTGCCGCGCTTAGAGATCGTCTGAAGACAGCTCTATCTTTAGAAACCTTCTGCCAGTTCGGGATATTAAGGACTCTAACGTCCTTTTTAACACATCCAATCCACGAGATCTTCGGTCTTCTTCGTTATCTCTTGCCATCCATAAAGTCTGCTACTGTCAGATAGTTTAACTTATGCTATTGAGTGTCAATTTTTGGTCCTGTAATTTAATATGAGCTCAGTTTCTGTGGCTAGTCGTGTACCCTACACTTAAATCAAGAATCAGTGATCTCTATTCATAAAACTGTGCAAGAATTTCGTAAAATCAATTGTTGCAGAATCCTCACCTGTCAGGGGTGGGTCCAGGAATTTAAAGTAGGATATACTTTAGCTACACTCTAGATTTACTTTAATCTTTACTCAAGCAGAGGCGTAGCCACGAATTTGAAGATTGGACCCAAAAATTGGGGAGATTTTTAGGACTTTTTCATAAAAAACTCAGCAAAATGAAGAGATTTTTGTTAACTTAGGAAGATTTGTAAACCATACCCCCCCTTCTTCTGGCTACACGCCTGTCTTCAAATAAAGGCATAAACGATCAAAAAATGCGCCTCAATCCACCTCCACCAAACTCCATCTCATTCTCATCAATCCGAAAATTTTATATTTCCCAGTACAAATCTAAATTTATTTTCTGGCATAATATGGGCAGTTCATAAAGTCATGTTATGTATATGTTATACAATAATAATAACAAGAAATAATGAGATGAATAAAAATAAATATGAAAGTCACTTTTTTGCTTTCATAAGAAAAATAATAATCTGTAAAGTATGAAAACGCAGTGCTTGATAAACGACGAATTTAATATTTCAATTCACATGAACTTTCATGTACGTAAGTACAATTCATAGGCGAATCAACAGGTGGGCACTATTCAAACTATTACATTGTGCATTGGGGAGCATAAAAAATAAATAAATTATGGATCAATGTGTAATTTAGAATGTATTCTTCTTTCATTTACTATATAAATATACACACGCTATCATAAATAAATTTCTTGTGTTCCTTTATGTTCAGATTTTATGGCGCTCGTATACAAGACTTTTGAGATTAGGAATTGTGGTATGAAATTTGATGGAAGAAATTACATAATTTATCATCTTTTATTGCTCACAAATGTGAAATAAAATAGTTTCATGGAAAAACTTCCTGCTTTTGTTCATTTCTATCACAGACCTAATAATCGTCTTACAGATGGGTCGAAAAACTACTGTAAAGGGTGTTATAAAGTTTATTGTGTGGCAAATATGTGTGCATGTTTAAAATCAATCGATATGTTTTGTTTTTGGGGAATGGTTTGGATGGAGCTACCTTTGATTTAGCAGCTTTTATCTAGTTAATGAATAATATTAATTTGGGGTGGCTATATTGAGTTGAAGTGGGTTGATGGCAGAATTGTTGTGTACTTGGGTATTTAATTATTACTGCAATACCAAATCAGTGATCATAGGTTCGAGACTAAGAATGGGAAATTTTTTATCTTGTCCTTTTTGAGTCATGTGTTCTGAAAATGAAGCTCACAGCCTTACTTAGTAGGGGGTCGTTCACTTATGACGTCCGAATTTAATGGTCATTTTTCATAAAAGAACAATGAATTTCCAGGAAATTCTATTGTTCTTTTCTTGTTGACCCCTCATCCCCCCTGGACGTCATAAGTGAACGGCCCCTAGACAATCTATCTATATTTGTACGGAGGAAGTCTGGCAAATCCACACTCCTTAAAATTGTCATTAGCCTTGTTTTAATGAGTTATAGAACATCACAAAACATAGTCTTTAAAAATTGGGAATAGCTTCTAATTCAACGAATCTACATAAAAACAAAGCCTTACATTCAGATCAATCTTAAAAATTGACCATATAGAAATAAGAGCCCCGAAGTATTGCCCACTTGTAAAATTTTTGTTTTCACTCTCTTAATCCAGCCAAAAAAATTATCATATCCAACCGCAAGCGCAACTCCAAAACCACTCAGAAAAACATATCAAATTTACACCACTCCATTTTTATCAAATTTCCAAAACAAAAATTTAAATTTTACAACCTGTCATGTGCAAACTCATGGCAAAGTATTAAAAACAACAATTTTCTGTCATTATTTCGTCTAAAATACAAAATCAATTTTCATTCAAAATTTCATTTTCCCTTTCCGAAAATGTTCAATAAGCTTATAGCAAAATATTATTTTGTGGTTTTCATCCATCAACATCATTTGCATTTGACATTAGTGAAAATTGATTAAATCGAAAACTTGAAATTTTAAAAATCTTTTAGTGTGAATAAAGCATAATTTTCTGTGTCATTTTCATCGATTTTGTAAGTTTCTAAATCAACCATTTAATGAAGGATGACTGCTTTGTTGCTCAATTTATGATAAATAAATGTTTTATGTTTTTAACCTCAACACCACACTAATGATAATTTTACTATATTAAGAGTAAAACCTATAATTTCATACTTTTTCTTTTCTACTGTTTCAATTAACATCTTAATTTTACAATCAAATTAGCAATGCAGAAATCAATCATAATAATGAAAATCACATAAACATACTGCCAAATATCATAAAGTATTTCTCAATCGAATGTGAACTAAGTTGTTCCTTTTTTATATCTCGCAATGCAGTCTCAACTTAATCATCACATCACAACATTGTCCATTTTATATTTAATAAATTATTTCTTTTGCTTGCTTAATTTCAGACCCGTCATACGTTCATTTCCAATGTCAACTTATCAACAGCAAATTCAACCGAATTTTAATGAGTATCCAACAACATCAACTCAATCGCCATCCCATCATAGACATTTGCAAAAGAGTCCACTTAATCCAAATTTACCGTCGTCATCAAAATATTTACAATTTGTGCAGCCACAACAGTCAACGATGAGCAATCAATTGAATTCACAAACACTTCCATATCCGAGTACGAATGCATCGCATGGCGGTAATCTGTTAAGTCAACAAACTCCAAATGCAGTTCCTGTACATCAAACTCTCCCTCAAAACTTTCATCCAAGTCAATTGCATGGACATCCAGCCATAATAGGAGGCTATCATCTTGATAATCAACGACAATCTCAGTCTGATGACGATAGTGGATGTGCTTTAGAGGAATACACTTGGGTACCGCCAGGTCTTCGACCAGAACAGGTAATTGATTTATGCTGTATTTATACATGCATGCATATTGATTTAATGATTACTTGTAAGCACATAGAGATATTTAAGTAAATCGCTGTAATTATGTGAAGGGGTTATTCACATATTACGTCCATAAAATATGAGACTGTTTAAGAAATTCTTTTGGATTGAAACTTTGTGAAATCGGGGGAGGTCAATTTTTTGATTCACGTCACTTATGAACGACCCCAAACCTCATCGCGGGTAGTAAAATGATTTAAGATGATGAGTTCTTTTTAAAAAAATTCCATTCATTTCCATTTAAATCGAATTGAATGAGATGAAGAAGGAATAAGACACATAGATAATATTATAAAATTGCGCATGCAACTGATGACTATAAAATAGTCATGAAATGAGGCAGTTAACGCCATTGATGTAGCAAATATTTCCTTTTTAAGTATTTAGCAATGGAAATATTCTCTCAGTTTTGCAGACGTAAACATTTCATTGTTCAAAAAGATATAAACATTGTATGGGCAATGCTGCCTTTATGTATTATCTATCACAATCACATATAATAGCCGGCACATAAACAATTTATTAGACTTTTAACTGAGCAAGCAAAAAATTTTCGTTGCCTTTTTGTAGGCGCAAAAATAAAATCCCAAAAATTCTTGTAACAACCAACCGCTATATATGTGTATCGTGTTTGTTTATGATATTATGGAAGTGCATTCAATGGATCGGGAACTTTTTTTGTTGTTGAAGATTCTATTGGGTGTGATTATAGTGACTCAAGACGTGATCATACAATTAGAGGTCTTAAATTTTGAAACTTTAGTGGTCATATCGTTCATAAATGGCACACGACGTAAAATAATGAAAAAAAAATGTAAAATCAGACCTGAATCCGAGTCCATGTTAAAAATCCATAGGAGTCATTCACTTATGACAACTAGAGAAGGGGGGGGTCTGCCAGAAAAGAACAATAGAAATTCCTGGAAAACTATTGTTCTTTTTTTGAAAAATAACCGTTAATATCGCACATTATGAGTGAACGACCTCACATAGAATACTTACAAATGGAGCCTCGTACTCACCAACATTGAATCTGGTTACCGAATATAATAACCTATGATATGCCAAGAGACGATGTCAACGTTGATTCGAAGTAAGTTCAAACGTGTTTCGAATACTTTTCGAACAAAATTTCGCCATTTCGAAAAACATTTTTTATGAAAATTTCAATTTTATGCAAGTTTTGACTTAATTTACTTATTATTTGGGAATTAAATTCTTCTATTATGTCTTTTAACACTCATTTAATCGTTTAATCAGTGATAAATGCGGCAAACATTAGTTTAAAATGCTACTTTTCAAAAAATAAAAAAATTTTTGTTGTTGTTTACATTGAAAATAAAAATGTCATTAATTCACTTGCATTAATTGTTTAGTAAATCAGTAATGATTCATTGCGTTTGAGTGGATTAATTTAGCATTTTGATGATAAAAAACAAATATTTAAACTATTAATTAAATATATTAGAAATTAATAATTTAACGTGTAAAAAAAATTTGAACTTATGCTCGAAAATAAGGTACCAAAAAAAATTCAATATCGAAAATAAGGACCCGTTGGCGTACCATAGATAATAACAGTTTTGCTATAAATTGATTGTAGATAAAAATTGGCTTTTGAGTTTGTTTGATGTGAGTATAATTCAAATCATCATACTGAAAGCATCCAGGGTTCAAATCCCAATAATAACTATTCAAATTTAATGTCTGTCCATAAATCACTCATTAGGTTTACATTTTTTGATTTTTTTTTTTGACTAAATCAGAGTAATGTCATTCGAAAATGATGTCTAATTATTTTGAAAGTAAAGGGTTTGTAGCTTAAAAAATCAAATAAATGCAAAGTTCTCCAACATCAGAAACCCTAATATCCTTACAGTAACGTATGATTGTGTAATAAAAAGTGGCAACAACTAAAAGGAGAGTGAAAACCGACAGAACAGAACAGAAAAAGGCAAAAAAGATAAAAGTCTCATAAAAATCTTTCCTCTCTATAAATACGTGCATATATACGTATATGCCATAATAATATCACAAAATGTGGTTTTGGAAGCAGCAGAAAAAATGATACATAAAAAGTTACCTTCAAGGCACAATTTTAATTCTTTTCTTTCTACCGTTCATTTTTTGCGTCGTTTGTCTCCTCCTTTTAAATGCCTCACTAAGTTACTGTACATACATATATGACACTAGTAAAAAATAAAAGCATTTCACATTCCATTGCTCACCCGAATAAAAACCACATCCACAATCAACGTACATCTCCTTGATATGCTCTCTCAAATTCTAAATGTGATGAGGGAATGAAGATGGAAATTGCAAATGAAAATCACCATAATCATCGTCATCATCATTTCAGAGGTTCTTTTTTTTTCAGGCAAAATTGAAGATTGCTCTGCGTCTGTCTCGAATGATACAAGCGATTCCACTTTTATTTGCTAATGATGAACTTTAAAGTTTTTTTTTCATTTGTTTGAAATGAAAGTTTTTTTTTGTGGATGAGCCAGAGATGTAGCTTGAGGAAGGGGAGCAATACATGACTTACTTATACTTACTTACTTACTTACTGTATCCATGTTCCTATGTGGAGCTTAAGTTACAACAAAAGATTTTCCATCTGAATCTGTTGCTGGCTTTGTCACCTAGTTTGTACAGATTCTTTGTCCGCACATTAAGCTGACATTTCTTCATCACTGTTCTATGACAAGTAGTTTTTGGAGCTACTGAGCGGCTTTTTCCTTACGGATTCCATCCAAGGGCAGTGTAACAAACTAGTATTTCTGTCCGAGTAATGATAGAATGAGATTTATTTATGTATGAGAACGGGTTTGGGACATTTGCCCACTGACTTTTGCCCACTCTACAATAGACCTATTGCCTTGCCTATGAAATGTTTAAAGCCGGCTCTAAAGATAAAAACCAAAAAACCAATGAAGTTGGGATCAAAAACCTTACCTCAAGCTACACCCCTGCCTCTGAAATTCGCTAAATTAATCACTGCAATTCTTTTGGGTAAACGATTCATTCAACTTTAATTCCCAAACAGATTGAAAATTTCTCATTTAAAAATTCGTTCTATTAAAATTCTATAAATATTAAAAAAGTTTCCAAATCCGTAAAGAAAACACATTTTAAGCGCGTAAAAGGCTTAATAATAATTTCATATTCATAATCATAGACGATGAATAATGCATAATGGATATGAATAGTATAATTTTTAAATTAGATTCTGATTTTGGTTAATATTGGTAATGAAATGTATTTATTTTTTTCTAATATAGTAAATGAGAAAAAAAATTAGATTTGTTGAATTTTTTGATAGTTTTTGGATAGTGGAGAAGAAGGAGGTTATAAATAATGAGCAGTTTTTGCTATTTTGGAAGTAAATGATATTTTGTGAATTTTATAAAATTTATATTTAATGAAAATCATTCAATGAATGCTTTCGATTTCATTTTTTAATAAGCAAAGCTACACTAGCAGAATTTACAGAAATAAATGACTTCCAAAAATCCAATAGCGATGGTTTTGGATGTTTTACAACAAATTTGATGTCAACCACACTTCCCTACCCCTCAGTTCTTCTTCATCATAAAATTGCAATTAAAATTGAATTCTTAACATTCTCAGCTTCACCCTTGCCTAGAACATCCAGTCTAAGATAAATCAATGGCATCAGCAAATAGTTGAACTTATAGTGCAACTTAGAAACCCTCGATAGCTCAGTGGTTGGCTTAGGTGACTGAAAATCACACTACACAGGTTCGAATCCCACTCAAGATTCTTTATTCCGACCTTTTCTTTGTTATCTGAATGTTAACTTGCTTCTAGATGATTTTCAATAAAATGACTCTAAATTCTCAAACATAACAAAAGGATATGCTTTCATAATTATCATGTCTTAATATTAATTCCAAAAGTCACTTCAACCTCAATTTCAATTACTCCAAAGCTCTTTTTTCCTTCCCATAAGTTTCATTTCCTTTTCAAACTATCCAAAAAGGCTCTCAATTCCAAATAAAGCAAGCCCCAAATACCATTTAGTCCTGTTCAGTCATAATCATGATTATAAAAATAAATTTTTATGAGAAAGTACAATTAAAAAGACGGCAAAAGTAAGTGAATATAAAGGCATACGCATTTTATCTTTATTAACATGTTGATTTATTAGATGAGTGCGATTTGTAAGTCACTCAGGAAGTATCATAAAGCTTATAAAAATAAATAAGAAAAGGTAAAAATAGTCAAATAATGCATTAAGGGAGTAATTAAAGTCATAAATAAGACACTATGGTTGGAAAATATGAAAATAGCATTCAAGGCAAGGGTGCAGGAATGTAGTCACACAATAGAATTATGGAAAAAAAAAGTAAAAGTTATGATCAATTTTCACGAAAAAAGAAAGTTCTAATTTAAGTTTTTTTTTCCACATCACCGGCATGGGAATATCGCGTGCATACAGGCACTGTGAATTTACCGAGAGCATAAATTTCACCTCGTCTGCAAAATTGGATGGAGTTGAAGGGTTGAAAAGTGAACAAGAAATATAAATTAGAAAGTAAAGTACGAGAATTCTTGAAATATTCTTCGCTTTTCCCTGCTTTTTCTTTGTTCCTTAAAAGTTTTCTCCACGCGCATTTTTTCGTTCTTTGTTTCTTTTGGGATAGAAGCTGAAGGAGTAAACTTATGTTAATATTTTTTAACACGCAATAAAAACGTGATTTTTATTCGCTATATTATTGTTATCATTATAATGGATATAACGATTTTGTTTAATGAATATTGTTTGTTGTATTTCCATTCTTTTGCATCGCAATTTCCATTTCATTTTCATTTCTCTTTTTCTGTTGTGCGTTCTTCCTGGCGTTCTTAATTTTTATGAGTTTGTGTTTTTGTATTCTTAGTTTGTCTGGTCGTTCAATGAATAATAGGTTCATTGTGCTATTCTTTTAGAGATCTTGCTCTTAAGGGAAGGAGAAGTAACGAAATAATAATAATAATATGTGAAGGGCCCAACCTTTTAGCTGGAGGCACTACGATTCAATTAGGAGTAAAGGAACTCTATCAAAATTTATACAAATTCTATAATTGTGGCTGGTTTCTAGGGTTATTTTGGGTACCTTACTCTAGAATCTGTATTCTTTTACTAAGCGAAGATACAGAGTCGAATGAAAAGCTTTTTGGTGTAAAGTAAGCTCCACATAAGGTTCAGAGACTTGAGAGACATTACTACTTACCTCCATACAGATTAGCTATGAAATCCTAAATCCATGAAATCCTTCTGTTCCCGAAATCAAAAGATCTATTTCGAGCTTCTTTCGCATTCTACAGTCTTGTTAATATCTTGATGACCTTTGTTTCTTTGTGAGTATGCTCCCCAGTTGTAATTAAGCACTCAGATCCAAACTAATAAGTCAATGATCCAATTTTCAAAGAAATATTCACTTATGAAGACATTAGACCATGGGCGTATCCAAGAATTTGAAGAGGGGGGAGCAAAAAAATTTTTTGTATGGAAAAATTTAAGGGGGGGGGGGGATTTTTGTGATATTTTCATAAAAATCCTAGCAACAAAAAAAGAAATTTCTGTTTACGTTGGGGGATTTACTCAATCAGTAAAATGCGCTTTAAATCCATTAAAACCCCAAAAAAAACTCCATCCTTCCTTTTCCTCACCACTTTCTTTTGGGTTCAGTTCCATTCCAAAAGGGAAAAATGTTTAACAATAATAACGAGAACAATAACATACATTAAAAAGTAAAGAAGGCAACATGAACTGTAAACATTAGCAATTATATTCCTAGGGTTAATGAACACCTTTTTTTACGAAGTGCAGAAAGCAATTAACTTACATTTTATTGAATCGTAATCGTAAATAAAGATGCAGGAAACTTCACTCATCCTCTATGTGCTCAATTTCCAAGAAGAATGAAAGTGAGAATCAATTAAGAAGAGTCGTTAATTTCTTTTCCTCTTACTTCCTTTTCAATGCAGGTTCATTTATATTTTTCGGCAATACCCGAAGACAAAGTGCCGTACGTGAATAGCGTTGGAGAGCGTTATCGAGTGAAGCAACTTCTACAGCAATTACCACCCCACGACAATGAGGTAGGATGAACATTTTCTGGACATATAAATTCAAGGGGATACCAACATAACGGGAAAAGATTTTGATCGATCATTTTGAACTGTTTTCCTCGCACAGATTTGAAATTTCCTTTAATTTCTGTTACTAGAAGTGGTTGTTAAAGCTGCTTAATGTACCCTACTCTAGAATTGGAAATATCTTTCCCGATAATGTTGTTTTCCCCTTGCTCAGCTTTCCTTATTTATGTTCGTCAGTTTCTGAAATTGAAAAGATTCTTTCGTGCTCGCAATTTAGACGCAAGAGGTCGACATCTTCATGTATTGCTCCATAAACTGCCTTAAAAAATCAATCTGACTTTCATGTCACGTATATATGATGAAACATAAGAGGAAATTTAATAATATTAGCAGATGAAGGAGGGTTCTCATTTCTATAGTATCAAATTTATAGCTAAATGACCTCTACATGTACGGAACCGAATAAAAAAAATCAGAACAACTTTTTTATTGCTAAAGTCATTTTTTAGCAATTTCTCTGATTTCTCCTTAAATGTTTTATTCATTCATGCATGTCCTGATTTTCAATTGCAATTTATTTATATTTTCTTATTCTTCACAGGTTCGTTATTGCCATTCGCTGTCGGATGAGGAGCGAAAAGAGTTGAGATTATTTTCAGCCCAACGAAAGCGTGACGCACTCGGTCGCGGTTCTGTTAAACAGATTCAAGTCAATCAGCAGTGCGAGGGAGTAAGTCATAAATCTTATTTTATTTCTCATTCTTTCCCCTCTAAGTAGAGGGCTTTAAAGTCAAGCTACATCGATAGAGCTACAGATTATCTTAAATGCTTTTAACGACATTAAAAATTCCTTTAAAATGATGGGAGAAAATAAAAAATATGTTCGCGAAAATAGCGTCTTTTACGGAGCGTTTATAGCGAAACGGATTAACATAATAATACTGTTCAGTGCCTCCCCATCTCTAGAAATCTTTACTTTACATTATTGTCGCATGAAGAAAAATCTGAAAACGTACTTTTTGGTGAAAATAAAATGAAAATGTTACACCCTGTTTGAATGTATATCCCATGTACATTCGTTTTATTGTAAGTGTGGATGTTTGCAAATAAAACCATTTCTCGTTCCACAGTTTATTTTGGCGCATTTAATTGGGTGTTTGCTTAAATTGGGGTGTTGTTGTCGCTTTCTCTGTTTTGCATGCCAATAAGATATTAGATGTGATTTTTCTTGATGCTCTAAAGCATAGAGATGTATTGAAAATATGATCCAAGGTTCATTTGAGGATATACTTCCTAAAAAATTGGCAAACAGTCTTGTTTTAGTGCTTTATGATTTTATTAAAGGGAAATCTAATGAGCTTAATAGTTTGTTTGAGGTAATCAATCAAAAAGATTAAATCCAAGCATTAAAAATCCAAACTGACTAGAGTCGCCGACCAAAACGGCATCCAAGCGTTGTCCTGGACATTTCTTGTCGGTTGTGCAACTGGGACTAGTCTTAAAATAATCAAACAATCCAGAACTAGGTAGCTAATGGTACACAGTTCAAGCTTTAATATTGAAAATCAGTAGCTTCTTAAATTTTAATGAAAATCACGCATTACCTACCCGAATTGCACAAGCCGTTTAATCGAATAGAAATCTGACGCCAAGCAGGCATGACTCTGACCTGGTACTAGCTTTGATTTAAATCCAGCACTATGCCAGAGTCACACCGGCTTGGTGTCAGATTTCTGATCGATTAACGGGCTATATGACTATATTTGTGCTAAAATATACTTTTAAAGCTGTAGAACTGTAACAAAAAATTATTTGCATTCTATAATATCAGAAATTGAGTAACTTGATGCAGCTTTGTTACAAACGCGTTCGCAAAAATAACTTAAAATGCGCTCTAAACTCAAAATTATCCAAAAACATCACCCACAGAAAAAAATCCTTCAAGTCAAAAAAAAGAAAATTACAAAAACTTTTCTACGCTCAAAAAATATGTTTTTCTTATTTCGACATTCACAGCAAGACCGAAATACACAAAAAAAAGAAAGGAAAGAAGTACGTGAAAATTTTATTTAAAAAAAATCCAGAAATAATAAAAATGAAACTTTTGTGTAGAATTTAAAAATCCAGATATAAAGGAAGAGGGGGGTTGATGGATGTTGAAATGGATATACGAGTCTATAAAATGCAGAAGTTCAATTTCATATCTCATTGAGAAAATAACTTTTTGTTATTCATTCTCAATTCCTTTTTTTGTTCTCAATTCCATTAGATTTAAAATTATAGAGCAGGAAAATGAGTTTAACCTTTTTTGTTTTTGTTCTGAGAGAAATTGCAATAAAGCACACAGCACAAGAATTGAAAATAATCACCAACATGATGATGATAAGCGGCAACATAAATCAGTCTGAAATGGAAATGGCGACGAAAGTATTATTCTTCTTACAATTGCAGACATTGACTCCGCTGTGTTGTTTTCTTTCACAGTGTATAATTTAATTTTTTTTGTTCAGTTGCTGGTTGCTGTATTTCCTTCATGTCATGAGAAAGAATGAAGACATAAACACACGGGTGAGATAGGATGGAAAAGTGAATTATGAGAGATGGAAAATGCACAAAACCAGTCATTCGGTTAATTAAATAATAAAATTAAATGTCGCCCCAAAGTGATGAAGAAATTTTGGTGTTTTTTGAGAATTTAATTTAATTCTGGTGGATTTTAGCTGGATAAATTATGAGAAAGGAGAAATCATCGTTAGTTTTGAAGATATTCATTATCTTTTGCCTGAAGAAATTTTAATGAAGCTTTGGTTCTCTTAAAAATCAAATTTAGCTTCAAGAACCATTGATCTTGGTGATTCTTAACGAAAACTAGCTGCACTGTCAAGAGGCTATTACATTTAGAGCCAAACGGAACCCAATTCTTAATGAATGCAGCTGATAAGTGACTATAGCTTGGATCTAAGTTCACTATCTTCTCTTCCATCGTATGTACAGCGATTCTTTTAATTTCAAAGTTTGTATACGGGTCTAAACGGTATGATACAATAGATTCTTTACAAATTAAATCGCAGTGCCTCCAGCTGAAAGGCTGGGCCCTTTATTTTTTATTTTATCAGGATATGCTTAAAAGAATTGATCATTCAGTCCCAAGTTGCCAAAATCTGACGTTATAGCTTCGCAAATAGACAAATTATGGTGTAAAGTTCCGAACTCAACAACTTTCGAACCTAAATAATGAAGAAACTGAAAATTTTCACAGTAATTCAGCATCGTAAGCCACCACTTTCCTCCCCCATTTTTCCACATTCATCCCAAAACCCCATACATCGTAAACCAAGTCACTCAAAAATACATTCTGCATCAAAACTCTTTAATATCCTCAAAATTCAAGCATATTTTCTCTCAGGACAGTCCCCCCAAAGTCCACATAAATCCACATCATTAAGAAGAAGCACATAGCAATAAAATTCATGTCCAGTAATGATCCACTTCTCAAATTTTTTCCCTTTTTCTCTTCCATTTTTACTATGCTAACATAAATTCCTCAGCATTATTATTATTATTATATGTACATATTTTTTGAGGACATTGAGTATTTTTTGTGCCTTACGTCAGCAATCCAACAACCCCTCACTTTAAAAATGTTGAATATTATTTTTCCTCAATGATATGATTCGGTTTTGAATGGCAAAAGAAGATGCGAAAGCAAAGGAATGTCATGGAAAAAAATTTGTATCAAACAGAACTGAGAGATATGTACAATATCAATCATATTTTCAAGCACGTCTCGCTTGGTGAAATAATTAAAAAAACAGAGAACTTGAATAATGCTCCCTATTGGAGTTTAAAGCATCACGTCTAAAATGGAATCAACACAAAAAGGAAAAGAGGAGGAAAAATTTATTCATAGGATGAAAACTTTTTTTTTCGTGTTGTATTATTTACAACACACAGTCACAGCCATAATGAATGAGAAAGAAGATAAAAAATTAATATTTTGCTTGTAAGTTGAGAGATGAATGTGAATTTAAAAAAGAGAATCTTGTAGATTGTAAAATATTTAAATATGAAGCGTTAAATAGGATACGGTGTGGCTGTAATGATGACAACGATGATAAAGAAGTGGTGCGGAAGCACGTTCGAAAAATTTCCGAGGTAATTTTTCAAAGTTAAATGGCATATGGCGCGTTGGGAGATGGCTTTATGAGGAGAGGAAGTTCTTTTTTGGGGTTAGCTGTTTTTGTGAAACTAGGATTTGGATTTGTGACAGTTTTTGCTTGAAATTGTCATCAATCTTTAGAACATTACATAGAAAATTCTCATATTTGATCAAATTTTGTTCAAGCGGTGTTCAATTTGGCTCAAATTTGCTCAGTTTTGGTCGAAAGGTTCTGAAATTTTATAAATTGCTCTGTTTAAGCCAAAGTTGCTCAGTTTTGCAACGTTTTGCTTTCTATGGCTCAATTTTGATCAATAAAACTAAGTTTTGCTCAATATAGCTCACTCTGGTTTAATAAAGCCAAGTTTTGCTCAATAGAACTCAACTTGGCTCAAAATAGCTCAGTTTTGCTCAAATTTCCTCATTTTTGTTCAGTTTTGGTTGTCTATTATTGCTCAGTTTTGCTCAGTTTTGCCAAGTTTTGCTCAATATAGCTCAATTTTGTTCAATAAAGCTCAGTTTGACTCAATATAGCCCAATTTGCTCAAATAGCTCAGTTTCGAACAGTTTTGCATTCAATATTGCTCAAAATAGGTCATTTATGCTCAGTGTAGCTCAAATTTGCTCAGTTTTACTTAAATTTGTTCAATTTTCGTCAAAGTTGCTCATTTTTTCTATCAGCACTAGAACTCAACTACTAAACTCATCAGTCATCATTCAAAAGCGTCCTATCCTTCCCACAATTACTCACTAATCCATTAAACACACTTGCTTCTCTCTCCTTCCGAATTCTAAACAACGAAACCCCCGAAATGAAAAATGTGCGAAAATGAAAACTTTCATATTTATGTTTTTCTCTTCCTTGAAAGTTGCAGACAAGATAGAAAGAAGAAGAAAAAGGTTACAGACCTTTGTGTCTTTGAAAATTGCACGAGAGACAAAAAACCATTTGTGAAAGGTCGAATGATTCCATAAAAAGCCATAAATTTTTGTGGATTTTCAGCTTTGAGACGAAGAAGAAGTCGACAATCAATGGAACTTTCACATTAATTTTTTGAGTTATTATAAATCATTACATGCACACACAGCTATTATTTTAACGTATTTTTAAATTTAAGGAGATTATATCAATGAACGATTAACCTCTGACTCGTAGCTTACCATTAGATGTTGAAAACGCATGACTCAATGTTCAACACTTTTCACATTTATGTGTAGCAACTCACATGTGCTGCATGCATAAAGGCAAAAAATATTAATTATTCTCTTCGTCTCAATGAAATGTGTCGAATTAAGCACATGATTAATGTTTATTTTGACACAAACTGTATGAATAGGAAAATAATTTCAGAATTATAACGGGAATGTGCGTTGAATTCAATTTCTTTAGAATTTGAGAGGAAAAATTGTTGTTTGCCTCTAAACAATTTTTTAATTATGTCTGTACAAAAGCTATGAGCGCTAATTTTACAATATGAATAGGGGGATTTTGAGCGTTGTTTGCTCAATATTTGGAGTAAATTTTCTGAAAAGATAATATATTTTGGGTTTGAAGACAATGAGTAATGATACATTGAATTGGAAAAAATTATGAAGTTTTGCTACGGTAGCCTTGGGGATATAACCTAGAATTACCAGAAAGGAATTAAGAAATTGAAGTGCCTTGTTAGCTCAGTAAGCAACGCACTGATCAACTGAAGTTGGTTTTGAATTTGAACTCTGAGGTTTGAATCTTACCATCAGCCTAGTGTTTTTAGATGCTTAGATGCATCGGATTGATTTGATCCAGGCAGAATAAGTTGCGTCGTCAATATTTGGATTACATAAGATTATCTCGTAGGAATCAAACCCACGCTCTTCGAATTCTTAGGTCTGTTCGGCAGCAAAGATCTTATTCTTACATTGGCTGATTCTTCTTCATTTGTTTGTCATTCTTTAGATTGAATTGTGCATCCTTAAGATTTATTTGGCCATACTCATCTATTATAAAACCAAAAATCCCCAGTTTACCTTTCATTTGTCAAGAATAAAACCAAACAATAGAAAAATCACTCAAAAAATTCAATTTCAAAAGTTCATCATCCAAAACTTAATTCCGTCGAAATTGCTTCATTAAAAATTCCAAATCACGTCTCAATCACACTTAAAATTATCTCATAACTCACGAAAAATGCAAAGCATCTAATTTTAATTTCCCATTTTCTGTGTGAAATGAGCAGCACCAGAAAAAAAAGTATCATCAAAACTACATCAATTACACTCATCCGTCAATAACAAATGGCAATTAGCTCAGTCCTGGTGTTGTGTGGCTATTTAATGTAGCTTAAAAAGAACTAAAATTAACGGATATGGTAAAGTGCTGTACATAAATAGCCACATTCAAGTATCATCACATCCATATGCATGTTGACAAAACATTAGTTTGGTGATTTAATAACTCTATTTTGTAATGCTCAAGCATGCATACGGTACGAGACGTAGAGAGAGCAGAGAAACTATAAACAAAGCAATTTAACAAAACCGACAATGGATTTCTGGTGGTTTATTTGGTTGAAAGATTTTTATTTTCTTTTTCTGGACAGGAAATTTCGGGCACAATTACTTCCTATGAAAAGAAATAAGAACTCGAAACTTTACTCACATAATTTACAGACGACTGAAAATAAATCAAAGAAGGAAGCCCAAAATGCGTACACGAAAGGGAGCAACTCGAGAGTATAATTTGAAATTAAATTACATTTCATTGCCATTGTGAGACCAATCTACTTCACTGACTTGTTTTGTGATAAATATTATGTTAAAATTAAAATATTTCATACAATTGCGGATACCGACAAAACAGAAAACGAGAGGCACAATTGTGTAATTTATGATCCTTATAAGATTCTTTTTTTTATTGTTTTAACAATTTAATTTCTTTACCCTTGGCATAAATGTATCCCAGCCTCCCCCCTTTTTTTTTGTAGAAATTAAATATTTTCTTTTTATTAAAAGGAATCAGAACGGAAAAATTTATAAACTTTGGCAATGTCCTGGGAAATATTTTTAATTTTTCATTTATTTGATTCAGCAAAATGAGAGAAAAAGGAACAGAAAAATTAAAGGAATCGTAACTAATTACCCGTCACATTCTTCACTAATGAAAAAGTGCTTTACGTCATTTTGTTTTATGTTTTAATGCACGTTGCTTTATGTTTGGCAAGCATGAGTGATGTGCGGGGGATTCTGGAGACTATAAGTATAGAGTTGATGTGGTTCCTAAGCGTCTCTGTGAAGAAATCATGGGCAAATCCAGTGTTTGAATTGGAAGGAGTTTTGAGAGTTTTTCTCTCATTCTGCTTACGTAAAAGTTTGACATCATTTATGATCGACCCCACACCGAAATTCTAAAACTCAAAATAAATATCAAATCAATCAATAATTTCAAAAACCAGTGGTGCACAACCTTTTTTGTGACACGGCACACCTTGGGGTTAGCATAAACAGAAACCTCGCACAACACACAGTTCGTGGGATTCCTGGAATTTTTTGTGGCACTCTAATGTGTCGCGGCACATAATAAGGCATCACTGCCTTAAATAATCCCAATCCATCCAATAAATACACCTTTATAGCCAATAAGACATCAAATGATGATTTAATCATATTTTATTACCCACAATTCCATCATAAAAATTATTAAAATACTCCAACTATCCAACTACAGTAATAAACTTATCAACCCACACAGAAACTACAGATAGTCAAAACTGTCTTGAAGCAGCTACCAAAAAAAATACGCCTAAAATCAAGTTAAAGACAATAAAAATAAAGTGAAATGAAGGCATAAAAACTAATTGTCTCGAATTTTTAATTACCATTCGCTGTTCTTTCTAAACAGTAAGTTGCTGTCGACATTTGTGCCATAGCGGTAGTGAAATGAAAATGCAAATGCGTCCGTCCACTCCGAGCAATTTGTTATTTTCATTCTAATACGAAAAGGAACTTTCTTTTTGGTCACGATTAATGATATTGTTTGTCCCTTGAGGGGGTGGATGTATAAAGTATAAAGAGAGACGAGTCGATTGTTAGTAATCAGAATGGAAAGTCATGAAAATGAGAGATAAGAACTTTCTATTTAGGGGAGAATTTTATTTTTTCATTATGTCCCACACCAAAGCTACCGGAATTAAAAACGGAAAGAGAAGAAGGAAAAAAAGTTTTTAATTAAAATGCTTTTAGGCTTAAAACCTCACCCACCTCACTGGATATAATGATATCAATTTTAAAAATAGCATAATTGTAAATGGCAGGCAAGCATAACCAAATCGATAATGCAATTTTATGAAGCTTGACTTGACATTGTAAAATCTACCCGCATAATGTGAAAAGTTTTATTAACTTAATTTATTTATTCATCCACAGTGCGGTGAAGTGATGATGACAGGTGATATTGCAGTATATGCAGCTCGCTTTGGACCTAATGTTTGTTGGCATCCGTCATGTCTTGTGTGCAGTATCTGCAAGGAATTACTCGTTGATTTAATTTATTTTCATCGTGAAGGACGGCTGTATTGTGGACGCCATCATGCTGAAACTTTGAAGCCACGATGCTCAGCATGTGATGAAGTGAGTTCATTGTTCATTTTAAATATGTCAATCATAATAAGTCTCTCGTTTTGAAGAGGGTATTCTTTTGCTGCTCATCACTTTAACTCTTTCTTTTTGCTTAATTCACAGATTATTTTGGCCGATGAATGTACGGAAGCTGAGGGTCGAGCATGGCATATGAAACATTTTGCATGTTTTGATTGTGATAAGCAGTTGGGCGGTCAACGTTATATCATGAGAGAAGGAAAGCCATATTGTCTTGGATGTTTCGATAACATGTTTGCAGAATATTGCGATTATTGTGGTGAAACAATAGGTGTCGATCAAGGTCAAATGAGTCATGATGGTCAGCATTGGCATGCAACAGATCAGTGCTTTTCATGTTCAACATGTCGATGTTCACTGCTGGGAAGACCATTCTTGCCACGTCGTGGATCGATTTATTGCTCAATTGCGTGTAGTAAAGGTGAACCTCCAACACCAACAGATAGTACAGCTCCATCAATGCACCGTCCACTTAGATCACAACAAGCAATACAACATAATATTCCATACAATATGCAACAATCAACCTCAACAAATCGAACTGGTTCTGATAATGAAGAATCAATAGCAGCTCCATCAACTCCATCCTCACCACCTAAATTTGCATCACCATCGTCACCAATTCATCAACAAATTAGAAATACGACAGCAAATCAACAACAACCAATGAGATCCCCAAAAATGGGACGACGAGCTTTAAATTGTAATCCAAAGCAATCACCGGTAGCAGTAAATAGTAGTAGCAGTCAGACACCGTCTCCATATTTGGGAATGAAATTTGAGCAGCATCAACAGCAACAATATCAAGTGGTTGACATTCAAGACACAGTTATTACAATTAATGAGCACGATCAATATTCTTTGACATCTCAAACATCATCGACATGCAATAATAAGGGCTTAGATCGAGTCTTGCTCGAAAGAAATATTGAAAAGTTACTCGAACGAAATGACACGCAATTACCAGCAAATTCCTCATCGTCACCAATCAATATTCCCGAGAATATAACAAGAAGCCCGAGAAGTGCAAGAAGTCGTGAGCCACTCGATTTAACAGATTTAGGTTTAAGTTTAGATAATTTATCGCCAAAAACAAAATCCTCAAGAATTCAGCAAGAGAATATCCAAAAAGATCTAATGATGACCTCATCGATGCCAGAACTTCCAATGTATGAAATAAATCGTCTAGATGAAATCACACCAATTAATGAAGAGCTTCCAACGCCTGACATTTCAGAGCTATCAATTAATCGAGAGGAACAACCAGTTCCACAACCAGTTGGTAAATTATACTCATTATTCATTTCTTACGCAATTCATTAATTTTAAATAATTCTATTAAATTATTCATGAACAGTGATACCAACAACATCAAAGAAAGAAGTGCGATTTGAAGGAGATTTTCAAGATACATTGCCTCGATCACGAAGCTACTCAGGGAAATCGTCATCATCATCATCACGAAGTAGCGGTCGAAGACGTAAAGGAAATCGTCAACGAAAAGATCAAACAAGACATCGAGAAGAGCATCGACGATCAAGAAGTAGTCGTCATTCATCATCCACTATCGATGAGCCATCAACATCGACACAAGCAAGAAGAAGAGCTGATATGATTGAATCACAGAGGCTTACAATTCGTAATAAAGACGATGATGATGATGACGATGAAACAGAAACAACAAGAAGCATTTGCTCAACGTGCTCATCCAGTTCAAGTGATTCTGATGATTTCGCTTATGAGCTTCCACAACGACAAGTTTACGGTGGCGTTCGAGTAAATTACGTGCCAAATGATGCCTTAGCTTGTGCCCGTAAGGAACAACAAACGAAAAGTGATCAATCAAATAGCGATCGCGATAAAAACTGCACAATATCATGAGAAAAGGCCATAAAGAATCTTGTAAATGATGTAAAGAAATTAAATTTTAATTTCTAGTATGCGAAACACATTACAAAAATATGTATTAAAAGTAAATTAGACAAGAACCCAACGAAACAAATGCCAAAATGTGAATAAGATGAAGAATTCATTGATCGTACAAAACACTAAATTGTTCTTTCGTTTTATGAAGTTTCTCACTTTTATTTTTTAATTTATGAAATTCATGCGCATGTTTTGGAAAGAGTTGGGTGGGAATGGCGTGTATGAGAGTCACTTTGGTCGGTAGTTCCTTGATTTGTTTCATAAATTGATTTTATGATTAAGTTTAAATATTGGAGCATATATGACCCCATTTTCTATTTGCTTAGCTGAGCATTTACGAGTCTTGTGGCTATTTATTAGGACCTACCTTCAAGACAGTGCCTTGTTTAGCTACCAAAGGAACTAGAAAAATTTAAATCAATGCTTATGAACTCTGAATTAATCTTAAATTTCCGTAAAATTCCCATACTTCCTTACATGAAATTATCAATCTCACTAGAAATTCCAAGGCATGGAAACTCAGGATTAATCCTGAAAAATTCTAAAAAATCCCTAAGCCAATGAACATGAAAATGTGAAATGCATTTTAAATCCCCAAAATTTTTCATCAAATGCATCAGGGATTTAAAAAGGATTTCACATTTTCATTTTTATTGGCTTAGGGATTTTTTTATGATTTTTCAGGATTAAAACTGAGTTTTCACGCCTTGAGAAAGGAACAAGGGTGTGGTACTGATGAAATGATCAAAAAATGATCAAAAAATGATCAAAATGTAATTCTTCAGTTCCACACCCTTGAGAAATTCCTTAGCTTTTCACAGCTTTACATCAACTCAGAGCTGCGAAACAGGCACCTGTGACAGGTGAGAACCCTACAATTCCTTGATAATTTATAAGGTTTTTCTAACAAAACCATACAAATTACCAAGGAATTGAAAGGTTCTCACCTGTCACAGGTGACCTGTTTCGCAACTCTGCATCAACTAAAGGAGGGATTTTGGTGGGATTCGTAAAATCATGTCTGGAAGCTTATGTCTTGTAAGTTTTAAACAAGCTCATAGTAAAGGTGATTTAATATAGACTAGCTTAACGCTAGTTACAAATTAACATTTTTAACAGTCTTGTTAATACTTAGTGCTAGTAAGTGAACGGCAGGAACAACTATGTATTGTTAGAACTAAGGAGAGTCTAGGTTTTCAAGCTACATATAGTTGAATCTGTCAGAAAGAGGTTAAGACTTTTGTGACAGAGTAGTAAGGCAACAGACTAGATATTTAAAACTCCCATTCTTCCAAAGGTGTGGGTTCGACTCCTATCAGAGGCTCATCTTTAAATTATCCCTTACAGTGCTGTCGATATGTCAAGAAATCGTTTTAAGTGACATTACACCTTACATATCTAGCCATGTTATCATTACTTGTATTAAAAGTTGCTAAGTAAGTCAATTTGAACTACTTATCATTTCCTCTCCAAATGACCAACAAAACTGATCCAACTCCAAAAAAAAATGCGCATAATTACCCCTTTATCTTTTAATAACTTTGTGATTAATCTCTGTAACTTGTTCATAATCATAATTATTTTCTTTAAGAAAAAACTCGAAGAAGTCAAAAAAAGATGATTTATGAAGAGTTTCTTACGCATATCTAAAATCTCATTTGCACACATTTCATTTATCATATCGTAAACTATGTTCTTTTCCCTTTCATTCCTCTCTCTATCTATCATGTCTGTCTATTTCGTACAATTCTCATTACATTACAATGCTTCCATTATTTTTTTATATTTTTTTTATTTTATCTATCAGAATTGAAAATAAAGTTGTATAATAATAATAATAATTAGAAAGAGGCATTCTCAGGCTGAGAATATTATTAGAGGATAGAGAGAATGTTGACGTGATGTATAAAAAAAATTTATTTCTTTTGTATGTGAAAAGCACAATTGGGCAATAATCAGGAAAAAATCAAAAAATATCAATCTGTAAAAAGTCTTGTACTTACCAATTTTTTAATATGAAATGAATGAAAAAAAGTTTTTATATGAAAAACAATAAAAAAATCTCTGGAAATAAATTTTATAAAAAAACACGATGGCTGCATTTTTTATGCTATTATTAATTCCAAATCCAGGCAAATTTTCAGTTAATCCAACCGCTATGATCAAGATTAAACGGCAACAACTTACAGTGAATTATAGCAGTAGAATGAAGATGTATCGCAACAAAAATCTAATCTATTGTAGCTGAATCTCATGTACAGCAGCAGATGTGACACAATTAAGTAACTGTTTACAGCAAATTCAATTCATCACGTGAAGAATGGAAGTGTGTAAAACCAGCAGCAGATCAATTTCCACCTGCAAAAAAATAATGTTGCTCGCATAAAGTTGAGTTAATTTATTGCTTCCGGTAAAATTTACAGCATGCACATCTTCATTTTAATTTCAGAGGTGGTGATTTTTTGGGTTGGAAATGTTGAGAAATTGGCGAGTTTTGATTTGAAAGTGTGAGGATATTTAAACTAGGTCTAAGACGGTGATGGCCAACCCGTGAGCCGCAAAATAAATTTGGGATATCCCAAGAACCGTATTTTTTTTCATTTTAATTGCACTTTATTGCATTTATTGACGACATACTGTCCGGATGTTATATGCGATTTCGATCATGGCTTATCACCAAGAATTCTTGGCACAAAAAAGGTTGGACACCACTGGTCTAGGATGATAAAATCAGATTTTATGACAAACTAATCAATTTTAATCAGCTTTTAACCACTTTTAATGCTTTGTGTCAGGAGTGTGCAACCTTTTTGGGTCACGGCACACCTTAGTGGTGATTCATGACTGAAACCGCACAATGCACACGGTTCGTGGAATTTCTCGATTTTTTTGCACACAGTAGTGTAGCGCGGCACATGGGTTTGTCATCACTGCACCTTCTTCCTTTGTAAGCTAGTGAGCACCACACTTACTCATATTCCGTTGCTCGAGAAACTAAAATTACAGCCATAAACTCTTTAGATTCACTGCTACACATTAATAAACATCATTAGCTGCCAAAAGAAAATCAGCAAAGCCCCAACTCTGAAATTTTAAAATTTCCATAGAAGTAAGCATAAATAGCTGGAAGTAAGAAACCAATAGAAAAGTCATTTTCAGCTTCAGTTATATAACATCTTTCTACGTGCTTTCTTTTATTTTTCTTTTCATTAAAATAATAATATCCTCATCAACTTCTCTTTATTGTCATAAATATCTCTTCATTAAATAATACAAAAAAAATGGATTTCCATAAAAAAAGAGTTTTTAAAAAAAATCTTACAAAAAAAATTGAGTTTCACTTGAGCTAAAGAAAATTGAATAATGCTAAAAACTTTTTATTGCCGCTAGTATTTTGAGGTGCTGATTGCTTCTTTTGTTGCTCTTTTCTAGCGCACGCGAGTGCGTCATTAGGTACATAACTAATTCTCACACCGCCATAAATCTTTCTCTGAGGCAATTTATAGGCAAAGTCGTCTGAGTCGCTTGAGCTTGATGAGCATGTGGAGCATAAGCTACTTGTCTCTGAATCGTGCAAATGATTGTCGCGCAATTTTGCTTGTGCTGATGTGCATGGCTCATTTGAATATTTACTATTTTTTGATGATCCCTTCCGATGAGAACTGTGATGACTGTGATGGCTACTCTCGTGCTTATATTTTGAACTTGGATTCTCGGACACATGCTTCCGCTGTCGACTTCCTTTACGTCTTCGACCGCTACTTCTTGATAACCGTCCTGAGTATGTTCGTGCTCTCGAATGTGATGCTACTGCTTCCTTCTCACCATCAAATCGCACCTCTTTCTTAGAAATTGTTTGAAGTGCTGTTGGAAGAGGAAAATCGTCATGAATATATGCGTGATTTACGACACCACGGTACTCACTTATTGGCTCGGATGGCTCTGGATCTTTACTTTTCATAGCCTTTGGCTTCAATCTTTCAAATGTTACAATTTCCTTCTCTTTCGGTACTTCCTTTTCTCTCTTCTCGACATAACGTTTTATGTCTATTGAATTGAGTTCCGGCAATGATGATGTTATTGTCTTATCTACTGATTCATCAACATTTTGTTCAATTCCTGTTTTATTTGTACTTATTGTATTGCATTTTGGCGATAAATTATCTAAACTTAAACCTAAATCTGTTAAATCAAGTGGCTCACGACTACGATCTTGATGCAATAATCGATTAATTTGTGGACTTCTTGTTATATTCTCGGGAATATTGATTGGTGACGATGAGGAATTTGCTGGTAATTGCGTGTCATTTCGTTCGAGTAACTTTTCAATATTTCTTTCGAGCAAGACTCGATCTAAGCCCTTATTATTGCATGTCGATGATGTTTGAGATGTCAAAGAATATTGATCGTGCTCATTAATTGTAATAACTGTGTCTTGAATGTCAACCACTTGATATTGTTGCTGTTGATGTTGCTCAAATTTCATTCCCAAATATGGAGACGGTGTCTGACTGCTACTACTATTTACTGCTACCGGTGATTGCTTTGGATTACAATTTAAAGCTCGTCGTCCCATTTTTGGGGATCTCATTGGTTGTTGTTGATTTGCTGTCGTATTTCTAATTTGTTGATGAATTGGTGACGATGGTGATGCAAATTTAGGAGGTGAGGATGGAGTTGATGGAGCTGCTATTGATTCTTCATTATCAGAACCAGTTCGATTTGTTGAGGTTGATTGTTGCATATTGTATGGAATATTATGTTGTATTGCTTGTTGTGATCTAAGTGGACGGTGCATTGATGGAGCTGTACTATCTGTTGGTGTTGGAGGTTCACCTTTACTACACGCAATTGAGCAATAAATCGATCCACGACGTGGCAAGAATGGTCTTCCCAGCAGTGAACATCGACATGTTGAACATGAAAAGCACTGATCTGTTGCATGCCAATGCTGACCATCATGACTCATTTGACCTTGATCGACACCTATTGTTTCACCACAATAATCGCAATATTCTGCAAACATGTTATCAAAACATCCAAGACAATATGGCTTTCCTTCTCTCATGATATAACGTTGACCGCCCAACTGCTTATCACAATCAAAACATGCAAAATGTTTCATATGCCATGCTCGACCCTCAGCTTCCGTACATTCATCGGCCAAAATTATCTAAACGAGGAATGAATAAAAATAAAAGATATGTTAATCGATGGGATTTAAATGCTTTTTTCTTGTCGTTAACGATAAGGATTTCCAAAGTCGGCTTTTATGTCCAACAAAAAGAAAGAAAGAAAAGGAATACAAAGAGGAAAATTATTTTAATGTGGGTTTCTTCCAATGACTATACAAAACATGCCAAAATCCAATAAATAAATCTACTTTCCTATTAGAATAGATTTCCTATCAGAGAGAAAATTTTCCTTTTATTTCATGCTGGCTTTCAACAAATGTCTCCCCATGCAGAAAAAGAGAGAGTATAAAATTTATTTTCTATGTGCCATGCATGGAAAGACCACGTCGACAGAAAAAAAGGAAAAAAAATTGGCAAAGAAAAGTGAAAAATTACTGCAAATTAAATGGAAGTTCTACATTCACATTGTTTTCCACCCCTGTCGAATCAAATCTTTATGGCCTATAAGTGAGGGGGAATTGGGTCTTTAAGCATTGATTTGATATTATTTGTCACACTAGAGTTAAAATGTCTTGTTCATTCGGCACAAAGATGGATTATTTTCTCAATGAATTTATCGATTTTCTTCTGTAGTTGACAGCTTTCAACTCCGGTAATGTGTACCCCATTGCTCCCCTTATTTCTTACTTTTCTTATCTCATTTTCTTTCCTTGCCATTTCTCTTTAAAACATATAACTTTATCAGGATACTATTTTTAAGGATGAAAAGATTTATGAATTTCTCGTTCATGCGACATTTGTTTGACACATAAAATAAAGGAGAACAAACTGGTGAAATTATGATTATGATGTGAAGCTGTGAGGAACTATTTGTTTGGAAACGCATTTTTGAGTGATGCTTATTAAGGGTAGTTTGACAATTTTAAAGAAAATCTAAATCTTACTCCTTGAGAAGACTTCAGGGTCCAGTTTCTATGTTTTCTTGTCCCCCCCTTAAACGTATAGAACTGCAGCGAGAGCACGATCTAAAACGCTTAAGAGGGGGACACTACCCTCCTGGCTACGCGCCTGGTTACCAGTAACATTTCACATTAGAACTGAATATCAAACGAATTGAGCTTTGGATTTGACTGAGACTTGGATAGAGCGTAGCCAATGTAGCTGTAGAACAGTGTTTCTCAAACATTGTTGGTCCACGGCACGTTTTTCTACTTGCAGCACACATGAGTAGTCTCGAGGCACAATAAATGATTTTCATAATCTTTTGAATGTGCCGCGACACACAGTTTGAGAACCCCTGTCTTCGAATTAAGTCATACATTTTAAAATTTTGTATTTAACACCAACATTTTCAAACCATTACAACCCCAACAATCAGCATAACTCAACTCAAAACTGTGCTATTTAATTAAATTGTGCATTTACGTTTACATTTTAAATTCCATAAATTTATCATGAATCCTCCTCAATCATACCCAACATCATTCAATTTTAAAACCTGCATAATAACTTCACTTTCTCTTCATTTACATCTTCATGACCATGCGAAAATTCCAATTATTAATTATCATTCTTGAGAATGAATGGAAGCAACACACAAACCTAATTAAGTTCCAAATAAGTGGCAATCAATTAGCCAGAGCAGAAATACTTTACAATTACAATTAATGATAAGAAAGAAAAATGGACAAAGTGAATTAAAGTACACTCTTTGTCCTCAATAACGCCAAAAGTCATTGGAACTAAGAAGAAGAATTATTCATACCTAATTGAAGATTTCATGAAGGAAGGTTTTTACTTCCAATTACGAGTGCGGCACAATGCAAGTCAAGAGACGGAGAGAAAAATGACGTATCATTAGCCGCTTTTGCCACACAGAAACTCATTCAACATATTATGGAAAAAGTACATTAATCTTGACACGACACAAACTATAGACTTTTACATTATACATTAGCTTCTCATATTCTGTGTACAGATCTCGATATAAGTGAGCTGTCATTTTATGATCCGAACAAATGATGCGTTTGACATTAATTCAACGTGATTCGTAGATGATTTTATTTTTATTTTTTCGGGATTATTGCTCGACATTTCTCGAGTATGTATGACAAGAAGCTATATTGGGGACTAGATTGTATAGTTTTCATTGTTTGTTTGACAATTCAAGAGCAGAAACTAGATTTATAGGTTATGAATGGGATCATGGTTGCTATATATGGTTGCTGTCAAGTATAGGTTCTTAATGTGTCTTGAGGAGGATCGAAGTGGCGTGAACAGCCCTCAAAATTGACAGAAAACAGTTCGAACTTCATAAAAAATGAAAAATTCAAAAATAAAATCTAGGACCCTTTTGAGAGGTTTAGTGTAAGCTCTTGCAATCAATTCTAGCTAGATTTCGGTCATAAATCACCCTTTTCAAAGCTACGCAAGGACGCCACAAGTCAAAACCTCAAAACATGACGAGCACAACCTCTAGTAACCCAAGATTGGCACAGAAAACGAGATTCTCTGAATATATTTCACTCCAAAAGAAATGAGTATTCATTAAGATCATCGCAAAAGCAAAATCGATCTGATAAGCATCTGGTGTCTATGTCACATGTATAAAGAAGTTCCTTGTTTACGGAAATCGACCCTTCGTTCACTTCCACTCCAACTTTCTTTATTGATATCTCTGTTTAGTAATCTCATTCATTTCCAATGTAAATTGAATGCTTTGAGGAACAAGAAGTAAAGTTAAATTAAGCTAATAACAAAAGGGAAATTCCTTTTTTAAGGATCGAAACGTGATAAGTATCGATGATGTAAATAAATGAGCTTTTTATAAGGAAAAAGTTTTTTTTTGAATTTCAGCTTCATAAATTTTTAAATTAGATTGAAAATTAAATGAAAAAGTTCTTAATGAAGTTTTCAGTGCCACTCAAGTCGGTTCCATTCAAATGATTTTGTTCGGGAAATGGACAAACAAAATGACGCTCACTTAATTGATTTAATTTGTTGAACGGAATTGTGAATTAAAAAAAAGACTTAATGAGGAAAATCAATCTTGTTTTGTTGGCTACTGACTTGTATGAGGAGACAGATTAATTATTTTCAATTAATTAAGACAAATTGTGCTAATTGGATTTTATACGATGGAATGTTTGGAATTGGAAATTGATTGAGGTTATGCTTAGCTATCTGCAAAATGCTTACAAATGTTGGACAAGAATTTTTACATTTATCTGTAAAACAAAACTGTTTTATGCTCTTCTTAACCAGGAACACTTGAGTCAAAGAAACATTTATTTAATCTTGTAAAATTCTTAGTTCTGCATTGATTTTGTAGCATTCAATAAGATTTATTGCTTGATTCTTAGATTTTCAAATAACATGTGGCAGCAAAACGGTTAACTAATGTCCTATTTTGTAGTATTTAACCAATTCTAGCAACGGGTCGTTCATAAATGGCGTCTATTTAAAAATAATAATTTTAAACCCAACGCTTCAGAAGCATCCTAAAAATAAGCGTTCTAGAAAAATCCATAAAGATTCAAGCATATCCAAAAGTCATTAAATTTCCACGATTCAATTTCCTAACCCTCTCAAAATTCGTCGCAATTTAATCACAAATAAATTCCAATGCATGTCATCAAAACTTGAAGCATCAATTTACAAATCTATCAATTCTGCTATTCCTTAACCGTTTAAAACTCAAAACTCAATAAAATCTGTCCCTTATTTTGTATCCGCTTCAAGGAACAAGGATGGAAAATCATTTTCTTTCCCCTTTTATTCCTTTGTCATCAGCAAATTTTTGCTGCCTACAAACTTTTATTATTAAAATCGTAAAATATTTATGCAAAGAGCAACTATAAAGGGGGGAAGAGAATCCTCATCATTACGATCATCATTACAAATTTACGTCATTTTTATCGTTGACATATAAACAATAAAGAACACTCACTTCATCGCACGCAGAACAGCGTGGCTTTAACGTTTCAGCATGATGGCGTCCACAATACAGTCGTCCTTCTCGATGGAAATAAATTAAATCAACGAGTAGTTCTTTGCATGTACTGCAAATGAAGCATGAAGGATGCCAACAAACATTTGTTCCAAAACGAGATGCATTAACTGCTATGTCACCTGACATCATGACGTCATTACACTGCAAAAATAAATAAGAGACAAAAATTGGATTTTAGAAAATAGAAAAAAAAGTCAAGCTTACAAAAAAATCCCTTGACAATGCCAATTTCAAATTGTAAATAAAATTTATCTGAAAATTTCAATCTTCGATTCAAAAATGCTGAGATAAGCAAAAAGGACATGTTGTGTATAAAACTTTTTTCATGAATATTTTAGATCCTTACACACACATATATTGTATCTGAATTCGAGAATATTTCCAATTTTTGCTATTTTGTCATGATTTTTCAATTTTCTACAGCTTAACAGAACCGACAGCTTTTTTTTTTGCTGGCAGAACAGAAAATTTTAATTGAAAACTTTTGTATGCATTTTTTTGCGAATCCAGCTCATCGTTGTGTAAATTTGTCAAGTAAATATCCCCAATGAAGATGGATGACATTGTAAAATATATGTGAAAAAATTGGTTGAATCAGTCATTGTGATGAAATGGCAATTTTAAAGCATTTACCGAGAAATAAATTATTTTGGTTGGTTATTCAGGTCAGCAGGGATCAGTGGTTTTTCAGGATTGTAAGTTCCCGAATGGCTAGGTCGATTAATCAACTATGGCCAGAGTCACATAGGATTGGTGCTGATTTAAATTGAAGGAAAGACCATACAGACATCGTAAGGCAAGCGATCTTCTGGAATATCCAAGAAATAGGATAGGGCCTACGGAGAATTACTTGGCGTACAACTGTTGAACGGGAGGCGGAACAACAAAACAAGAAGCTGCAGGAAATAGCAGCTTTGACCCAGAATCGAGTGCGATTCAAATGCTTTTTGGACGTTCTACGCTTCATAGTGGAGCAATAGGAACCCATCATCATCATCAGTATTATGCCAGATCCATGCCAGCTTAGTATCAGATTTCTATTCGATTAACCGACTTGTGCTATTCGGTGTTCATAGCCGTTCATTTACAACAAAACAAGATTTCACATCATTACCAAGCATTCAGTCAAAATAAACGCAAACCATCAATATCTAAGCATCTCACAACATCTAATCATTAAAGAATACCAGAAATATACCGACCTTAAAAATAGATACATCTACTTATAAGCGATGACGCTTCAAAAAAAGATATATTTCTTTTTTCTGGTTAAAAAATTAATGAATTTAATTAAAACAACATTGGACAGTAGGAAGAGATTAAGTTAATTCCATTTCCAGCCATGATGAATATATTTTTTTTTTCCAAAAAAAATCCAAAAGTTCACATGAGTCTTGAAAGTATATCATCTATATCTATTGCTCTAATATTCATCCTAACGGCTCAAACGTGTTTGCATAATAAATCAAATTTCCCGCTGATTCGGTTAATTACTTCATTGCGTGAAGCAGAGCTGTAACGAGCTTTTGTGTTACAAAACTATTCTGCCGTCCATTCGTTTTACAGTCTCTTAAAAAAGACTTAACAAGATATGCAGTAAGAAATATTTTTTAATAGCTTTTGACTATATCTTCGGACATATATTTTTTTAATAACAAGAAAACAAGTTCCTTGTTAAAGTTGGCAGCGAGTCGTTTCCATTCACATTTCTCTTTTATGCGTCGCTACATTCATGTGCACTTCTTAATTTACGCAATTTTTTTCTTTTGTATGACTTTAATCTGTTTAATGTCGATGTTTTATGATTGTGAAATTAAAGATGAACAATTTTTATGCATGTCCATAATTTTTATGGAATGGGTATTTAAGCTGTGTGGATTGGATGTTCATTGGACTAATTTATTGAGTGAAATATTTCTGTGCAAAAATGATTCGATTAGAATTTCTAGGATTGACAATGAAGAATTAATTTAAATTGTCCGTCTTAAAGCATTTAATCAATGATGAAGCTTTAGATCTGTAAAATCAACCTCAGAGTAGAGTTTGAATTAGTAAGCCGTATGTATGCAAATCTGTAAGTGCAGATTGCAGAGCTCTATAGCCGTCTGGCTAGATAGCTGATCAAAAATCTGCAGCCCACATTTGTGAGATGTGGGTTCGATTCCCACCAAAGTCCTTATCTTTAAACAATTGCACAAATTGATATAAATAGCTTAGAAAGCAGTAGCGGGACTTGAACCCACATCACAAGATTTTGTAGGGGTGGGAGCTGATGGCTACAATTTCTAATCACAAACAGCTTCTACTGTGCTATCAGCTTTTTACAAGAAGCTTGACAAAACATAATTAATTGCTATAAATGCCAACACTTTAAGACTTTCTCAGGATAAAATAAAATTGTCACTTAATCAATACCATCCACATGACATAACATCATCAAAGTCTATTGATCTTCCTTCATAGAAAGTGCAATCAATTCACTTTATCAGATAACTCAATCTCACGATGGCTATGCAACATTAATAGTCTATTACCTTCACTTTAATTGAGTCATTTGATCAATCAACAAAATAAGAAATTCCTGTTACTCTCACTAATAGAGCAATTTTTTATAATTTATATTAATTTCCTTAGTTAATCTGTCAATTAAGCATCAAACCTACCAATGATAAATATTCAACATCGTCTAGTGTAAAGAAATTACAGTAATGCATCTTGGGGGTTGTTTACTAATGATGTTCATCAGTTCGGGAGAGGTCTTTAATGTTTTGTGAAGCGTTAAATACATTTTCATCCTAAGGCAAAGAAAGTAGGAGTCTTAAAACCCCAAATTTCAATAGACATCATTAGTAAACGACCCCATGTGACAATGTAAGTAAATTAAGTCCAACCTCACCAACAGCCCAGGAAAAAAAAGCGACTTTAATTGCATCCTACATTCGACAAGCCTTAAATGTTCGCAAAAAGACATAAAAATTCATTTACAGCCCCATCTTACATATTTAAAACTGCTGTAATTTTAAATTGGATTGTCTCTACAACTAATAGACTTTCCATCCACAAGCCACTTTACATAACTGTATTGGATACATTTTTTAGCTTGTTTTGATTCCATTAATCACCATCACTTTCTTTTTTTTACTCTCCTGAAGAAATTGAATGAATTCATTTATGGATAGTCTCTAGGAGATTAAGTCTATGGCTCATACAAGACTAAGCTAATGTAAAAGTCATTAAGATGTCGGACACGTTAAAGTTTACAATGTTTTAAAAATAAAATTTTAATCCTCACGAGAGAATATGCTGTATGCTGCATATTGAATGGTATAATAATAAACAAATGAATAGCTCTAATGTACAGCACAATGGTGAGCTTAACTAAAAGGCAATATTGATTAAACATAACACGCATGCAGCATTGCATTACATCTCCGTTATTTCAATTAACCACGACATTTTATCAAAATCATATCATCAATGGAACTTCTTATCGACCGAGACCTCTACTTAGTCTTAGTCACATTAAGAAACGACATGGGAAGGAGAATAAAGTAGAGAAATAATTTACAGTTTCAAATTTCTATGTTTCTTACACATATGCTCATTATTAGAGCGGCAGTTTTGCTATCGCCAACGCTAACTCCCTTACTCAATTGTATTTATCAAGTTTTAATGCATCACAACAATCATCAATCATTTGGTTCTTTTTATTATTTTTAAAAAATATATAAATGAAAATATTGTTTGCTGCTCAATGTATATATTTAGAGCAAAATGATAGAAGAATCACAAAGAAGCATGCTGTTATACGGTAATTGTATGTATGAGTATACAAGGAAATATTTTCAATAGCAACATAATTTTTAAGCTCAAGATAACTATTTCGTTCGCATACATGTGCGAGCTGAGCGTTGTGTTGACGGTTTTTGATGAAAAAATTGTAGGTTTTGTCTACACTTTGGTTTGATTATATGTTTGGGCTATTGCTTTGAGAATTAGTTGTTTTGAAGTGTTTGAGATGATGGAATAGATCAGTGCCACTTTTTTCTATGATGTATAATCAGAAATATGATGATTTTCATTAGCTTTGATTGATTTTATCGCAAAAAACTTTTTGAAGTGAAGAATTTTTTCAAAATGGTGGAATTCATAAAGTTTAAATTTAAAAAATCCGTTGATTGATATTTTAAGTATTTGAAATTTGATGTTTAAAATCCAAAACCAGGTTCAAATGAAACATAACCTCAAATGTTAGAAAATTCTAAACAATCTTAAATCATTCCGCTCAAATAAATGCGCAACTTCCCCCTATTTAATCCATTAAGAGCCAAAACATCATTCCAACTCTCATTAAATTCAATGCAAACATAAAAGTCAAAAGGAGGCTTATTTGTAACTTTACATTTTGCCATTAAAATTAAACAAAAAAGAATTCTTTAAATTGTAACAGTCAGTAGTACATAAAACTTCAATTTTCCCTCCGACACAACTTTTTTTAATGCCTCTCATTGGCATTGCAGAGCTACAAAATTTACCCATCGATTCGCTCAACTAGTCACAAAGGAAACGAAATAATTTCATGCTAATGAAGTCTAATTATTACGCAAGAATGCTTTTGTCGACCTATCTCACTCCAGCAGAAGTGTAAAAAGTGCATTTTTTTGCATTCAGAAACTGAAAGAAAAGGTCTAATTACGGACATCATTGTAGTGCGTAGCTTCACTTCTATTATTATGGTTAATTTCATATAAAAATGCATTAAACACATCGCATTGCCTTGCGGCTGAATTTAAATCTGGTTTTTAACGTCTGCATTGGCATGAATTCTTTCAATAATTTAAAATGCTGCTGATTGTGCATATGTGGTGTGTAGAATCGATACACATACAAGGAAGCTGTTGGATTATTTTATTATGCAAAATAGCGACAGCAAGTAGGAACTTGAATGTTTTTTAATAGCGTATTTCCAACTAATTAAGAAAATTAGTATCAATGAAGGAAATGGTAAGTGATTTTAATCATATTTGTAATATTCAGTCGTGATCTTAAATATGGATGTAATATAAATAAATGTTTGCAAATTTATTAAATTTATTATAAAATTATTAAGTATGTAGGTTGGATGGGAACGAGTCTAATGACTTTCCGTGGCTTGAAGGGAAATTTTAAATCTAGTTCACGATTTTGTTTTAATTTAAATTAATTATTTTTTATGGAAACAAGGTTTAACAGTCAAGAAATATTTGGATTTTTAACGACAAAAAATAATTTGAGTAAAGACAGGGGCGAAGCTAGGAATTTGATGAGGGGGGACAATTTTTTTTTTTGAATCGAAAACTTTTAGGGGGGGTGGGGGGATTTTTCCAAGTTTTTCATAAAATCTCTAGCAAAATAAAGAAATTTCTCAAGACGAAGGGGGATTTGTCCCCCAAATCCCCCCCCCTGGCTACGCGCCTGAATTAAGAACTTATTTGAATTTGTAACGGCAAAAAAATATTTGAATTTTCAACGGTTTAAAAATATTCAAATTTTAAAAAATCTTAAAAAATTCTCACAAACAAGAACTTTCCATTAAAAAAATTTCAATTATAAAGCTTCAAATCTAGCACATGACTGCACTAAGAAATCTTTTATGAGTTTATACAGCAAAAAGCATTAGTTACACATTCCCAAGTCCCAAGCACATCATAATCCTTTTTTTTTTGTCTTCTCTTTTCCTTCTGTTTCTGTTTATCTGTGTACATATATATGCTAATAACGTAACTCTATTTGCACAGTCTGTCAGTCCTGTGTAAATAAAGAATAAATCATGCTTTTCCATACTTTATTTCCCCAAAGTATCTTGCTCGATTCATCTTCTTCTCTCTCAACGCTAGCTTTCTCTTTGTATACATTATATTTTTGCATGTCAATGTGGATAATGAAATTAGGGGCTGCTTGTCTTTGAGAATGCTACTAACTCATGTTCACATTTTTTTTGGTCTTATATGAGGGAATTTTTTTGTTTTATGATGATGAATGCCATGACTAAGGGGGGTACAATGTGATGGGAAAATATTTTTGATAGGAATTTTGCATCTATATTTTTGTGAGTGTTTAGAAAAATTTGGTGAAATATTTCATCAAAAATGTCTCCCAACATGTTGTTATCCCCTTGGTCAAAATATTTTCCCATCATGTTGTTATCCCCCTTGAATCTAGATCACAACACTATTGGGAATATTTTAATCTATATTCATTATATAAAACTTACGCCTTCACACTGTTGATTAACTGCTAGCTGTTTAACAACACCACGTCCTAATGCATCTCGTTTACGTTGCGATGAAAAGAGTCGCAGTTCTTTTCGTTCCTCTTCCGTTAATGAATGACAATAGCGAACCTGTAAGTAATAATTTAATGAAAATTCAATTAATCTTTCGTCACAGTTAAATTAATGTTAATTAAAATTCAGCATTCTTGCATAATTCATGCCAGCAACACATCTTCATTCTCTCACGACACATTGTGTCCAGCATGAATCATTCACAATGGAACTGGAAATTCAAGTTAACAATTTTTTTTTATAGTGCGATTATAATAAGAATACAACAACTTCTTATACACGGGGCATTATCGTTTCAATAACATAAGTAGAAAAGAGTCTGATGAAGCGATTAATGAACTGTAATGGAATATATAAAAAAAATGCTAAGAAGAGGCATAAAAGCCACTTTTAAAAATTGTACAACAATGCTATTGAAATCGAGAGGGATTTTTACTTTTTGTTTTGTTTTAACTTTTTTTTTTTTGGATGTGATAAGCATGAAAAAAATATTTATGGAGAATTAAAATCAATTTAAATGCATTGTGAATATTTTTTATTATTTTCAAGCCTCTTCATGTTGTAAATATGCTGAGTTATGATTTAAATGCGTACTTGAAAGTGCATTTAGCGAACATGATTGGCGCACAGTGAACAAAAGGAATAAAAGAATTGAGAATAAAAAAAAGTTTTTATTGCCATTCACACAACTTTTTTTTGTGCGGATATTTTGGAATATTTTTTAACATTTGCATGTTATAAGTTGCTTTTAATTTGTGAATGCGAAGTGGATAAAGCGCAATTGCTTAATTATTTAATGGATTTTGCAAGGATTTTTCAATGATACTTTTGGGAGACCCTGAAGGAGACCTCATTGATCTGAAAGATGTTAAAACAACTTTATCAGAGCTAAAATAAAGTTTCATCAACGATAAAATCAAATATCTAGTTCAGAGTAGATAAAAAGTTTAAGTTGACATTTAGCCAAGTTTTTAAGCAGCAGCTGATAGCTTACGACATCGCTAGAAGAGCATGAAATTTGTAAGGACGTAGGTTCGATTCTCACTTATGACAAGTTGATGAGATGTTAATTTTTTCTGCTTTACATCAGTTATTGAAGTTCATTGTGTATCAGACCTGGAGCCTATGGTCAAAGCGTTGAGACACCTACCATAAAGGTCTAGGAATTATGAATTTGAACTTGACAACATAATCTAGCACCCTAATTTCTATTGCCTATAATTTTCCAAGAATTAATTTAGACAGTAGGGACCAATTTCAGTGACATAACAGCAGGGATGTACAATGCCTTGGCATTTAAAAAGACTTTAGCTACTTCTTCTCCACTGGCTAATGTAAAATATATGTTTAGGTATGTATATCCATCAACTAAATCTTATTAAGGCTTGAAGCTTCAGAACTTGAATGAAAGTCAGCTTTAAATTCTAAATGACACCATTGACTCAAGAGTCTAAAGCCGAGGAAATGACTGCAAACATTCCAAACATGAAGGACCCTTTTCAATAACATACTTAATCATTTAAATCCACTAGAACTTTTCAATTCAGTTAACATAACATCTCCAATCTCAAATAAACAAGTCACAAAAATTCCATAACATCCATGAATTGCATTTCACAGCTTTCATTCCCACTCGACTAGATTGTCATTGCAACAATATTATTTTTTTCTACAAACGGGAGACCTTCTCTGAACTATAACTAAGTAATTCAGTATAAAAATGATTATTATTTTACACGCTACCGAAACGAACGTGACATGAAATTTTGATGAAAATGCTGAGCTTTAAAATTCTTTTGCCGTTCAGGAATGAAATGAAAGACGGAGTCGGCATATTTTTTTTCAATTTCATCTGACGTAAATTAACTCGAATAGCCGTAATAGCTGGAAAAGTATCTATACACATGCAAATCATTCTGGTTTAATTTCAAAAGCATAATATCTCATACTCACTTCATTGTCATGGGGTGGCAATTGCTGTAGAAGTTGCTTAACTCGATATCGTTCACCTACACTATTTACGTACGGTACTTTATCCTCTGGTATAGTGGAAAAATATAAATGAACCTGGAAATAGTACATACATAATAAATGAATTAGAATAATTGCAAACGGAGGAAAAATTACTTAAAGAATTTAACAAATTGGCCCAATAAATGAAAATGGAGTATAACAATGCAGTACATAGGCTGTAAAAGCTATTGTCAGTTATTAATTATGATAAAAACAAAAGCACACCAAATAAAAATTGAGTTTATTGCGTGCTAATGAAAATTAACATATTTTTATGTAAATTTTGCATTCCTTTCTCTGTGCCTGTAATTCTCGAAGCTAAATTATGATTCGCGCCCTTGTTTTCTTTCTCACCTTTCTCCTTTATTTTTTTTCTACTTCTGGTTTTCATTGAATTGTGCCACCCTAATATGAATTTTTTTTATATAAACATCGAAATTTTCTTATCATCATCACCATATAAGCAATGAATGGAAATGGAAAAAGTTTGTCGGATTTTTCGGAATTTCCACATCGTCGATTGAAATTTGGAAATTCACATTTTTTGTAATGAATTTTTAAGTTAAGGTAGAAGCTTAAATGTCACAGTTTGTCTGCAAATTCTTGAAATATTGAAAATTGAAGAAGGTTTTTTGAGATTCTGAGTCAATTTAAAGAATTTGAACTCAATCTTTTAATTTAAAATACTTTGTAGTGCACTTAACTACAGAAAATTGATTTAATTTAGCCTTTGCCATCGTTTTTTGCAAGAAACGTTCATTAAAATCAAAAAATTAATGAATTCAGTTGAAAAATTTAAAAAAAAAAGTCTAAATACGACAAAAAAATCTGCCATTTTGTTTGATGTTTTTCAGAACAAGGGACAAGAACTTTTGAATTTGAAATTACCGTTATTGGTTTAAAATAATTCAAAACAAAACTTTCATTTGCTCAAATAAATCTCCTTAAAATGCGCTACAAACCACAAATTTTCATCGAACTTTTCCGTATAATTTACAATTTTCCGAACGTAAAAAATTTAACAGGGGATAATCGAGAAAAACAACATTTTTGTAGGGAAAACGAATGACTGTGCCACTTTTTAGCTCTCACTGCCCCATCCACATTATACCAATCGACTCTCAAACCTTGACTCTATGCATTTAGAAAAGAAATTTCAATTATATTCTAATCCATGCGGTATTCTCATGAAACTGAATGAAGAATTGTCATTTAAATAAAAAAGAATTCTATTTTATGATCACGCAATATGCCGCGGCATAGCTGCTTCAAGGTGTTTTCGTGATAAGCCATTATAAGTCTTCTCACTTACTCATTTCTAAATTACATTCTTTGTAAAATAAAAGTGGATAAAGTTACTTTTAGGAAAAAGATTTGTGGGTTTTGGCTTTACAATAAAGTTAAATGCTGAAGTTTAAAATAAATTTATTGAGAGAGGAAAATTTATGGACTCGATAAAGTAAATTTGAAGTTTAATGTTTATTGCTATTTTCTTCCATCGCTTAAAATATTTCATTATCTTTCTTAATTTATGTTATTTGCGGCTGAACAAAAGAACCGTTTTTTTAATTTTCATAATCATTAATTTTTTATGCTGTGTACCACGCAAGAGACGCAAAATTAACATTTATATTAATATCACAACTTTGAATTCATTTTGATGAGATGTTGGACGCATAAACATCAAAAATTATATCTTCTGATTCTGTCAATATTGATGGAGAAATGTTAATGATTTTTTTTTTCAATTTCGGATGTGAGGCTTGATGTTATTGAATATTGACTAACATTTTTCAATTAAACCTTAAAATTTATTTGAAATTAATTCCATATGTAGATCATACCTTTTTGATAGATCCGCCCTATTCGTGTTTCGTTAGATTTCAAAATCAATAAAAAGTTGTTTAAGCATTGTGTGCGATGATTTGAAGGAATTTAGGAAGTTGGAATGATTTTTTGATTATGTACTAGCATGTTATGACAGTTTGAAATGATGATAAAATTGTGTGAATATGAATTATGATATGGTTGGTTGTGAATTAGTGAATAAATTACTAAGTCTATCTTCAAAAAGAGCTGTAGGGAGGAGCTAAGTCAAGAATACGAAAATTATAAATTGAAACTTGGTTAATTTTTGGTCCTTTTTCGTTCGTTTTTGATCGTTTTCGTTCGTTTTTGTTCGTTTTCGTTCGTTTTTGTTCGTTTTTGATCGTTTTTGTTCATTTTTGATATATTTTTGTTCATTTTTTGTTCGGTTTTCGTTCGTTTTTGTTCGTTTTTGTTCGTTTTTGATCGTTTTTGTTCATTTTTGATATTTTTTTGTTCGTTTTTGTTCGTTTTTGTTCATTTTTTGTTCGTTTTTGTTCGGTTTTAGTTCGTTTTTATTCGTTTTAGTTCGTTTTATTCGTTTTTGTTCGGTTTGTTCGTTTTTGTTCATTTTAGATCCTTTTTTGTTCGTTTCAATTCGTTTTTGTTCATTTTGATCATTTTAATCATTTTAGTATTGTATTTTTATGCAAAAGGAAATGAGAATCAGATGCAAAAACGAAAAAAGTCAAATACTAATCAAATTTGAGATAAAAGTTTATGAATCGAGATTCGAACTCGTATTAATTTTAAATATTGTTGAAGCAAAGTAGCTTAAGAATTGTCTTTCTTATTCTTAATATAACAGTTAAAAATTTGCGTTATATTATAAATGTCCAATAATTTAGAATTGAATTTCTTAAAAAATATCAAAAAAATTTATCTTATTTAAATTATTGCATCGATCCACTTACAAATGTGATTATCAAAATGTTTGCTAATTAACTCTTTCGGCTCACAATTTTGATCAAAATAATTTAACAATTTATTTTAAATTATGATCCTCATTATGGGATTTAGAGTATTAAAAAGCTAAATGAGACCTTGTTAATAAGCACTAATTGGTTATTTTTTGGTCGTCATAACGACATTGAAATCATGAGATGATAATTGAATTTAATTTTTATTATAAATTGGCGACTTTCTTTAATATATTGTTGCTTAACAAGCAGCTATGCGAATCAAAAGACTTTAAACTTAAACAAAAAAATTTTAAAAGAAATAAAAAAATCTTTTATATTCTTAAGACAATAAACAACAACCCAAATAAGCAATTTTTTGTAAGCATGTTCGAGTCGTCTGACAATATAATAAGCTCTCTGTCAAATGCACTTGTGATGTGTCTAAAATACTCACTTGAAAGCCATTGTATTTAATCTCAAAAAGAGTAGTGAAGCGATAAAATTTTTATTTAACCATCGTCCTTGTATCGGACATGAATGTACTTTTTTTTGGCAGTGGACGGAGAAGTGTTCACAATTTTCTACCTGGAAACTTTTCATTTTTCCCCCAAGCCATTCGTGCTGTAATAACATTCGGGGATAGAAATGTTGAGATTTCAGGGATTAAATGTTAAATTCACTCTGTCGAAATTGAAGACTGCTCTAAATTTCATTCTCAATCCCTAGCTATTTAATATAAATGGACTTTTTAGTGCTTTTTTACGATAACGATTTGCCACTTGAGAGTGAGAAAGAGAGAAACAAAAAAAATCTCGCAAACAGTATGTCCTGAAATGATTAAATTAGCTTTGGTGTTAACGGTTGAGGTTTGCAGTTTGTCCTTTGAATTTGGTTTTGGTCGGCATGTTCTTAACGAAGCAATTAATTGAATCTACACATCTTGAACAGCGTCAAAATTATGAGAACTAGTGAACTGCTACTTTTTAATCGCTTATTCATACAGAAGTGGACCAGCAGAGCTATCGACTTAGTCAGTTTGCAGGATAAGCAAGAAATAGTTTTGGATTCAATTGTTTTGCATACTTAATAGTGATATAAAGAAAAACAGGAACGTCAAACCATTACAGTAGCGCTCAAAATGATAAGGACAGCAACATTTTTTTCACATTTTTATTAATTTTGACGCACAGGATTATCTAAAATTGCTGAAATTTGGACCAGTTATACAGTTTTAAATGTCCTTTCATACAATATATACTAATTGTACTTTAATTAAATATTTTTGAAAGAAACGGTAAAAAATCAAAATGGCTGCCGCTCAAAATGATAAGGACAGTAGATTATGTTAAGATTTTATTATATTAAGTAATATTATGGAACTTTTAAGACTTAAAACAATATGTTTGATGAATATTCTTTAAATAAATTTATAATTCACGCTTCTAGATGTAAGACTTCTTACTTAATTTTAGTGTTTAAAAATATGTGAAAATTTTGTCAATTTATGATAAATTGTCGTACAGAAACTTGTTTATTCTTTAGGTTAACTACCAAAAATTATAGATAATTTGATTATTTATCAATTTATGATCAAACATTTAGATAACTGTTAATTAATGTAATTTTTTTTCAAAAATTTTATTTTTCCTTTGCGAAATTTTTGTGAACTTAAATCGACAATTTGAAGAAAAATTGTTAAATATTCGCAAAACAATGCTTAAATTAGTATATTTCTCTTCCATTTTAATTGTTTAATAACATATATCAAGCACTTGAACCGCTTCGAAAGGATAAGTGACTAAGCAATCGTTCTCTATGAGCTTCTCAAGACGAAAACATATGAAGAAATATTTTTTTGTAAAAATGTTAAATTTAGCACTCATAGAATACAAAATAGAGTGTTATTCGATTAAAAAAGCCAAATTTAATTATTTTATGTTAAAACTTCACTTATGTAAATCATATTTTTTTAGGTTCCAACACATTTTTCATTTTTGCCATATCAAAAAGTCTTGTTGAAAGAGAACGATTGCTTAGTCACTTATCCTTTCGAAGTGGTTCAATTGCTTGATATATGTTACTAAACAATTAAAATGGAAGAGAAATATACTAATTTAAGCATTGTTTTGCGAATATTTAACAATTTTTTTTCAAATTGTCGACTTAAGTTCACAAAAATTTCGCAAAGGAAAAATAAAATTTTTGAAAAAAAATTACATTAATTAACAGTTATCTAAATGTTTGATCATAAATTGATAAATAATCAAATTATCTATAATTTTTGGT